TCCACAGTGAAAGTACAGTCACATGCAATCTTTTCAAAAGAGCTACCCATTTTCAAAGCCACTTGGGTTCAGCATGTAAATACAGTCTGAACCACACACTAAAGCCGTCCTGGTATGAACCACTTAAGTGAAAGTAGCTAGTAAAATATGTACAAAGACACTGTGCCATTCAGGTCAACACGTGACTAGAGCTGACTTCATGTAGGCCACTGTGAACAGCGATGGTAGTGGTACTGGGAGAGAGAGAAAAGTCTGAGCTAGGCCAAAGACAAAAGCTGTTGAGCATGTGTTATATAAGCCTCTTCACTCAAATAGATGCTTTCATTTCAATTGCCACGGGTGGCACTCAGAAGAAACAGAGGAAGGCTATTTAGCAAAATGTGGTGGCTATTTAGCAAAAAACAGGAAAAAGTAAAATGTTTTAAATAAGCTCTAGAGGACAGGGACCGCCTTTTCTCTCCGTGTGGGTGATTTCTGCCCTTATGGGAGTGTTGCCAGAATAAAAATAATAATATAGTCTTCTCTTTTCTTTCTTGAGAACTGGTACTCAATCATCGAGGCTGGGCTATTGTAGACTGGTGGAGCTAAGCATACCAGCAATGTGATCACTGGGGATCAGTTACGTCAGGGTCTCTCAAACAATGAGGTATAGCCCAAGTTTTCCAAGTGGGAAGAAGCCGAGAGATAAGAAACTTATCTTTAAGCCTTCTTGTTTTCTCCTTACCGCCCCATATTCCCCTGGAGAAAACCTCAGCAAGTCGCTCTGGTTTCAGCCTGCATCCATCTCTGAAGTTGGCTCCGCACTGCGAACAGAAAGCAGTTCTTCCTCACTGAAACTTGTCCTAGCCAAACCGCTATGAAATACAAATGCTTCAGCATCTTGGTGTTAGGCACAGTGGTCAATCTGTATCCATCATCCCTAAACCGTGGCTTACAGGCAACACGTTACCTGCAAAACCTTCCAGTGTTTTTATGGACAAGGAAAAATTTTTCTTCTACAGAAACATGTTTCTTCAGGTTGACAAGGGGAGCAAAGTATGATTTTCCCTGCAGCGTGTTACTTGCTCAAAATGGAGGCTTGAGGCTTTTATGAATTTTTTTTATTGTCATAGCTAGGGACCTACTGAATTTTGCAATGTTTGTGGAAACCACGAATTTGGTTGGTCTTCACGAAAAAGCCAGCGCCACGGAAAAAACATGTGCGGACCATGAAAAGGCACAAAATCGGCAAGCAGGGGGGAAAAAAAAAAGCTGCACAAACAGAAAAGGATGGGAAGTCCTGACAGACTGAAGCACACGGTAGGGAGGGGGGAAACAAATTGTAGGCTGAGCTCCTGATGTAGGCTCAGTCCAGGAGTAAGCTGGGAGGGTCGTGGTGCCAGCTTTTAAAGTGCCCACGGGCATGCAGTCTAAGCACCACCCTGTTGGCTTAGAAACAGTATTTAAAGGCCTGTTTTTTGGGAATTGGCTTATAGGTATAGATATATGCATTATAACGGGTCAAGATGGGCAGCAGGGGTTAAATGGATTTCTAAAGCACTTGGGAGACACACACATACAGCCTGGGGACCAAAAAGTATGTACCATATTGTCCCATAACACAAGATAAGTGAGACCAGCAACAAGGCTTCAGAGCAGGGGGGCCTAAGTCCTGGTTTTGGGGGAACAGACCAAATTAAGAGAAGGCCCAGAAGGCTACATGGACATGTGACCACAGAGAGCCAACTAGAGATAGCCACGGATGAAGAGTCACCAGGAGTCAGCAAGGGGGAAGGAGAATATAAAAGCAGAGATTTGAGATTAACAAAGGGTCCCTCCCTTGTCCTCTCTCTCCTTGTTGTCCTTCTTCTTCTCTTCCTTGAGAGGGGTCCCCATCCCTGTGCCCCGGGAAGGGTCCCCAAGGCCGCCATGGGCAGAGGGCATGCCAGCAGCCCATCTCATACACCCCACTGGAGGGGGGCTGTGGGCCTCGGCATCCCACCTCCAGACTGCTGACATGCCATGCTGACATCTGGCACCTAAGAAAGCACCTCAGAAGTGATGCCTACATCCTGACCAGATGTACTTTGACACTGATGACAGCCCTAGGATTGGTAGATATAGAATTGTTTGATTATTTGCATTGTTGTTTTTCCGTTATTACTCTGTATCAATAAATCCATCTATTATCAACTGGTATGTGTTGGGGTCAGTCTGAGGGTTGTGCCTGCCCAAAACAAAGGAATAGGGTCTGGGTTTCTAAAATCCAGGGTCAACACACCCAAGGAGGGGATCCTTCCTTCTGGCCCCTCTGCCTTGCTATCTACCTGCCACCCCTCGCAGGGAAATGCACAGTAGAGATCACAGGAGGGGAGCCTGGGGCAGGGAGGGTGGTCTGAAGATGGCTGATGAGGCCAATGCAGGATTGACAGCCTGTTGCAACTTGGGTATGTGTTTCCATGCAGGGTGGGGTCAGTCCGTGACGTGGTGTTTCTGCTGCTCACACTTTTCCGTCTCCTGTTGTGATGAGGTTTCAAAGTACTGAGATCCTTGCAGCAGACTCTTCCTCCATTTGAGGTGGTCCTGGACAATAGAGTCGCATGAGTTGATGTTGATGTATTTTTTTAAGTTGGCCTTGAGGACAAATGTCCTTGAAGCATTTTCTCTGCCCTTCTCTTGAGCATGCGCCTTGACTGAGCTGGGAGAATAAAACTTGCTTTGGGAGTGTGGATTTGGACATCCAGATGACATGGCCAACCCAGCAAAGGTTATATCAGATGATCATTGCCTCAATGCTCATGGTGTTTGTCGCGAGAGGATGCTAATGTTGGTGCATCCATCTTCCCACAGGATTCGAAGGATCTTCCACAAGCAGCATTGATGGTACTTCAATGATTTGAGGCGTCTCTTGTCCGCTGTCCACGTCTCAACTCTGTACAGTAAGATGGGGATTACAATTGCTTAATAAACCATGAGCTTGATTATGGATATGATGTTGCGGAGTGGGGGGAGCTCGCACGTGGCGGCAGGTGCCACCACCATCCACCACCCCACACTGCCGCGTGCAAGGCCTCCCTCCCGTTCTGTGTCCAGCCACTGCCACCCCCATCCCCTGCTCTACCAGAAGTATACCCAAACGGGGTACATTGCTTTAAAAAGGTTGAAAACCCCTTTTCTACTTAATACTCTGTGCCTCCGGTGAAGTCAGATTCCTCAGTGACGACTGTGCAATTCCACCTAAATCCACATGATGTCAGCAGTGCATAAATGTACTGAAATAAGCCCTGCCAACTTTGAATGCAGTGGAAGAGGCATCCCTTTTCCACTATCCTATTCTTTTGCAACATGAATATTGTTGGCCTTACACATTCCACTAAACAATTTGCAACACTTTCAGACATACCCCCTTCAATTTTTTATTTCGTTTGATGGGCATTTTGGACCAAGCAACTATGCTGTTCAATCAATGCAAATAATTTGAACACCCCAGTCAAGTGGATTAATCAATTAGAGTCAAACAGCAGATGTACCAGTCACAAACTCTGCCCACCAGATGAGATACTAATCATTTTCTAGGAAGTAGGGTAGGGCTAAGGACAATTATGTCCAGAAGAAAAGCCGGTGACAGAATACAAAAGTTGGGAAGATGCATTACTTGGATTGTAAGGCAAGGGTGGGCAAAATGCGGCCCGGGGGCCAGATGCGGCCTGCCAAGCCATTCTATCTGGCTCGCAGGGCCCCTAAAAATTTTAGAAAATTAATATTTATCTGCCCCTGGCTGCCCATCATGTGGCCCTCAATGGCTTGCCAAAACTCAATAAGCGGCCCTCTGCCCAAAATAATTGTCCGCCACTGTTGTAAGGGGTATGGGGCAACAGTCTTTGCCCATGCTGGGACAGCCTGGCCTACTGTAAGACAAATGATGCTTTTTTAAACCCGACTTGGCTTTTTCCTTATAGTCCACAGGGTGTTTGCAGGGATTCACATTTCCTTCATTTATCTCAGCACTTCCAACAAGCTTTCCTTTTTTTGTCCACCTTTGGGTAGGAGGCTGTGTTCGTAAGTGATATTGGCTTGTTGGTCCTAGTGATTCGAGTCCTGTGTTTAGCCATTCGGTCTTCACTTTTAGTTGTACAGAAGCAGGGTTGCCAGTGGCGGCCAGTTCTGGGTGGTAGGTTTCCTGACATGCGGTCTCTAAGAAACAGACAAGAGTTAAACCATTAAAATGCAGGTGTGCCACGGGCTCAGCTTCATTCAGCGTCACTAAGGTAAAGATGAGACAAAATGAAAAGAAGCCATCAAAAAACAGTGTTTTATAATTACCTGGGACTCTGAAATTGCTTCCTGTTTCAGTACTTTATTATGTAATACCAACAGGCCTGAGAACTGAGCCATACTATGCCATGCACTGTGCATAAATGTATAGTGAGAGATTCAAGCTATTCATACAGAAATGATCTGAACACAGCAGTGATTGGCAACCCGGGTACTACATGCCTCCTGTGAGGATAACACAAGGAGCTGTGCGCAATACTAGCACTGTTAGGTGTGCAAACATCTAGACACAACTTACAAGACAAACTCAGACATTTCAGATAGGAATTCATAGCATCAAAACAAGTCTAACCCGTTGAGGTCTCCCTAAATTCCTTGCAACAAAAGAATTTGCTCTATCAATTTTTCATAGTTAAAAAATGAGTGAAAACTAAGAGCTGAAATTCTCAGAGATGTGCTTTGGGTCTAAAAAAGGGTTAAAGCCACTGGAATACAGAAAGGGCAAGAGGGGAAAGAAAAGTCCAGAGAGAGGGTGGGGCTTGCCCAATGTCACATAACAGGTGGATGGCAAGGATATAAATTAAGCTCCTGGCATGCCCCAAATCACTTCAGTTTGCCATCAATCAGACTACACCGCCTCCCATTCCAGTTTGGGCTGACTTGCTTTTTCACAGACACTGTTATAAAGAGGAAAGTCCCTGTGGGCTTTCCTCAAAGGATGAGATCTGGCACTTCAAGTTGTGGTCTATTTTTTTTTTTAATTATTTTTTATTTTTTTCCCCTCATGGATCACACTGTTCTCACATCATCGGGTAGGCGATGACAAAATAATTCAGCTCTGAATTAATCAGGTCTTTGTATCTTATGTAAATTTCTCTCAACATGTGGTCCTCTTGGTTGGTTTCGTGCTGACTTGTATAAATCCTCACCTGTGTGGAAGGAGCAAAATCAATTTTTAGTAAATAACTAGCCAAAATTAAACTCTAACGAGCCTAATGAGGAGCCTAAATGAGCCTACTGCCTAATAAAAAAAGGTAGTCAGTGGGTCAGGCTCGCAAGTCCTCTGTCAGATTCTGGTCAGCCTAAAGTTACAGAGCTATCAGAAAGCATTTTGGTTCACCAAAGGCTGAATATAAACTGAGGCCTACTTCAGGCTATTTTATTAATATCCGAATGGCAGAAGATGTATGGGAAGGAGAAAAACACCGAGTGGGATAAACTGTAGCCTCTGTTTCCTGGGACCTACACACCTGGAAGATGAAGATGCAGACAAGCACAAGGGGTCCTCCTGGTTCCCAAGACACCCTTGCTTATTTATAACCAACAGATTGTCGCAGGACTTTACTTTGCATGGTGCTCCCCAATAGGGTTGACCAAGAGGTAATGTCAGGACTGCATGCACATAGACATGTAGAAGGAGATAGAGAGCCGTGTAGGCCATGAGGCAGGCCTGACGCAGGCGGAGTTCAAAGGCACAGGTTTGAAGTCCAGTGGAGGACAATGGGGTGCATCAAAACATGTGGATTCTGTCGAAGAACACCCTGAGATGGACAAAATATTAGGGCTGTGCGAAATTTTGCCCAGCCTTCCGTTTCGAAGCTGTTTCAATGAGTTTCGAGCTCGAAACGGCGAAATTGAAAGAAAACTAAAGCCTTCGAAACAAAACAAGGGAACTCGAAACGTTTTGAGTTTCGAAGCCAGTCCTACTGGCTTCAGCGCTGGTCCCAGCCGGCAGCACCCACCACCTGTCAGCCGGCAGGCAGATTGGGGGCTTGCCCGCACCCCCAGGAGGGCTGCGGGGGCTGTGCCAAAGTGACAGGAGCCAGGTGTTGCTGCCTGAGGCCAGTGGCAGCACCGATCTTCCCGGCACTGGGTGCAGGTTGAGCCTAGCACCAGTCTGTCATCTGGCAGGCAGATCAGGGGCCTGCAGCCCCAGATGGACTCCGGCAAAGCACCCGCAGCCCTCCCGGGGGTGCGGGCAAGCCCCCAATCTGCCTGCCTGCTGTATTTTATGTTTCCCTACGGGCGAAACAGCAAAACAGTTTCAAAAAAACGAAATGGTATAATGCTTTCGAAATGAAACGAAACTTGAAACAAAACACTGTTCTGTCAAATCGTCGAAACTGAAGTCAAATCGGAACGATGCTGATTTGCACAGCCCTACAAAATATACAACACCGGTAAAAGGAAGTAAATCATTTAGGATGGTATAAAAAATGCCTAGTATAATAAGATATGAAAGGGATGTAGGAATATTGTAATTAAAGTAAGATCCTTAATAATAAGCAAATTGTAAAGTGCAAGGCACCAAAACTGAATTGGTCATATATGGGCAATGATGTGTGCTTAGGTCATGGTCGGTAACATAACTGAGTAACAGTGGCAGGATCAGTAATGGGACAGGTTATATAAATGTGTGACTGGGAGCACTTTGTGATGTATAAGCACTTGCAGTGGATAAAAGAAGGATAGAATACACTTTAAAATCGTGTTCAGCCCTGCACCATCCCTGCTGTCAGTCAATCTGACCACCTGGCTACGAATAAAGGCTTCACTAAGTTTATACCCACTGGCTGCGTCTACATGAAACGCTGATTGCTCAGATGTTACCATGCAGTCAAGTAGTACTTGCATAACCAAGTACTAAATGACTGCGCAGTAACTAGTATTTCTGTGCTGTAGGGTCCCGGCATGGTTGCCTGGTGATGCTTACTGCGCAATTGCTCATTACTATTGCGCAGTAGCATCGCATCACGGTTTGTGCCCCGCAACGCTACTGCACAGTAGTAACTGCACTGAGTAGCTGTGTCCTTATTCCAACCCCTTTGCAGTCGAACCTAACTGCACCTTGAAATGATTCACTGGATTTAAGACTGCGCACCTGGGCTGATCGGGAGATACCTGTGCCAGGGCAGTCCTTTCTACTTCAAGTGGATCTTGGACTTTCATATACCATTCTTATATTACTTGAAAAACCTTCCTGACTGCATGTTAACAGTAACTATAATGCAATAGTCAATGGAGGAAACTGCCTTGGCATGTCTCAATTATTCTTCAACCTGTTTTTATGCAAGGGATGCTACTTTTTGAACCTTAATTTTGTACCTTCAGCGTACGTAAGGTGCATTTGCCTTCCACCTGATTTTGCAGCAGCCTCTCTACAAACGTGATATCGAGGAAGGCCCAGATTTTCAGAAAGAACAGCTTCCTGCATGACAGCACGAGCTGCAGGAGTTCCTCATCCAGGAATTCATGGCTGTTGTTGAATTCAAGGGTTAATTTCTAGAAAAGACAAAGAATATATGCCTATCCTGAGAGCCAAGCCACTCTGCTCTTGCAAATGCACATGAGATATAATCAGCGGGTTTCTCATTGTATCATTAAGAGGTCTGATTTCCAGGAAGGTCTCTTTAGTATCATCGAACTTATGCAATCAGCTCTACTAAGTAACCAGAAGTTCCTTTCAGAATTCAACCCCTTTATACTAGTCATCATATAAACATAGGCCCCCACCTCCAAAACCTCGCCATTATGACAGAAGGTGCATTGAATAACGATGCGAGTCCTTGCAACGTTTCATTTATATGAGGTTCTTCCATGTAGTTACAGAGAGGGAATTTAAAGAGTCTGTTTTATTCCCCCAAACCATTAGTGGGGGTGGGATCACTCCAATTCAAAGGATGTCCTATAGATTAAACAAAATGTTGCGACATACATCAGAGAAAATTAACAGCCGTCTCTGCTCCCAGATTAAATCTCTTTCCACCTACAGCTACCAAGAATGTAATGGTGATTCCATATATATACCTTTTCCTCCTTATTTAAATTGACTGCAATTTAAAGTTAAGTTTAGCTTGATCTACATGTTAAACAGAATAAGTTACATCTGACACTATAAAGGAATAACCTGCACTAACAGAAAGCTTCAAATCCCTAGGAACATATCAAAGCACTAGGACCTGTGACATCAATATGGTCTGTAAGAAATGCACCATGTTTCCCCCTCCAGTGAAACAGTGTCCCGTTGGGACAACTGTTTAAGGGGGCACATCAATTTAAGGTGGGTAAAAGGGCCTGGTGGGCTGTGAAGGGCTTCACTTTCACGCCGGCAGTTGAGTATAAGGCTAACACGGGCATGGCCTCCTGTTCAAATCAGGAACAGGAGAGGAGAGTGTCTCTGTCCCCACCATACCTGTAGGATGTGCTTGTAAAATGGCAAGAGATTGGTGAGGGTGGGTCTCATTGTCCAGTCCGGGTCTCTGAAATAACAGCTGCGTAGATTGATGCTCCTGACAGGGATCTCTGCTAACAGGATCCTGGCTAACTTGTCATGCTTCATGACTCTTTCAAAGAAGAAGTTCACTCTGAGTTTGGGGGCTCTCTTGGCTAGGTTTCCCCAGGATACCCCCCAGATTATTTGCCTATGAGGGTCATGGATATGGCATTTGATATTTAGGGTCCAGAGAGAATGGGCATTATGTTCACACAGCGTGTCCAGCAGTTCATCGGAAATGCAGTTGTAATTGAGGCTCAGGATGGCCAGATTGCGGAACTTGGACATGGTTTCGTAAAACAGGGGGCTTCTGTAGACAGCGAGGTGACGCTCGAAGAAATTTTCTATGTTGACTTCAGAGGCAAGGCTTTTATTTTTCAAGTAGCTCAAAGAGCTCAAAAGCTCACAGCCTTCTTCCAACGTCACCCTGGCTCCTTTCAAGCTGAGATGATCCAGATGGGAGCCTACTCTTTTCAGGAAAAGTATTAGGTTCTTGATAAACTGATTCCTGGTCACGATTTTCCAGACCAATCGGTCCAACTCCAGGTGCTGCATACTCACGGACACCAGTCGGCTGTTACATTTGCCCAAGCGTGAGAGAAGCCCTTTCATTGTCACTTGAAATTTTCGTGTCAAGATAGCATTGTAAGGATTCAGGAACCTGACCTCGAGGTGTTCCAAGTACTTGCCAAATTTCTTGACATACCACAGAGAAGATTCAAGCTCTGATGTGTGCAACCTAGAAGGCCTCCCACAAAAGGTGATGGTTCTGGTTCTCCAAAGAGACCCCGCGTACATGGCCTGACTCCATCTCTTACAGACTAAGGCAGCCTGGGATCTGTCCCTATCGTCTAACCACCAGAACACGTGGCTGAGGCAGACATCAGGTAGATATGCCCAGCAGCTCTGCTCATGTTCACTGTCATCCTCCATGAAGGAGACAGTCGGTTCCTGCTGGGGAGAGAATCAAACCTAGGTGGTCTATAGATCAGGAAGGCAGTGGCTAGCTTCTTGGAAGTCTCCCAACAGATTAAACTCTTCCAATCAAGTGGCTAAAATGCTGCTGCTCTGCATCTAAAAGCATTAATCCATCCTTTGCCTCCTTAGGATCTCTGGTGGCCAAATGAGCTCTCAGATCTAAACTGTGATCTAACCTAAATCAAAAAAAAAAAAGAGAAAAGCAATGAGTCAACTCCCACGACAGGAAAAGCAAAGAGCAGTTTCAGCCCCTTGACTTCCAGCAGAGCTGAAGCACCTTGCAGTATAATGGGGCAGAGGTTTCGGTTTATCTGCGCAGAGTCCAGAGACCCCTGAGGGTGGCTCTTGTGCCTCATCAGATGTTTCTGAGCCTCTCTGAGCATGCTGGTGTCTGTACAAAGCGCCACTTGCTTTTGCACTGAAAAGATCACTGCTCTGCCTGGAGCATACTAAATCTGCTGATTTTCCTTCTGCCTATTTCAGCAGGCACTTGAAATACCTGCTGGAGATTTTTTTTTTTTTTTTTTAATTTCTGGAAACAGCTCTGTTTGAAGCATGTATTCCCTGAGAGGGAAATAATCATCATGCAGTTCATCCAATGGAGTCGTCCAGTTATTGGAAATGTGGACAATCATGCCCAGTAGATCGAAGACCCAATAACAAGTGGTAAAAGGAAGAGACCAACACCACCCAGTATACAAGAAAAATTAGTTACCAGTTTTGACTTCCAGTCTGGATTGCTTGGGAGCTACTTGGGCCTCAGCACCCTTCCTCCTCTGATCTGCTCCCTTCAGGGTTCAGTGATCACCATGCCTTCCCCCCATCCCAATCATAGGGAGCTCAGCTATTGCCAGGGAGCAAGAGGTAGCCTTTGTGATGTCATGGGCACTGACCTGACTTCAGGGCAAGCAAGGAGAGGGCACCGGCCCTAAGCCGTGGTTGCATACGGCTAACGTGACGGTAATGAGGAAAGAAATCGTGAACAGGGAACCTCACAGCTGCTTACTGCCTCCCGTCAACAGTACAGTTACGTACGTGGCAGCTGTCACACAGCAAAGAACGAAAGCAATGCTCGCTGCAAACGAGGACCTGCAAACTTCAAGAGCGTGATGCAAGCTGATTTTCCACTGCCAGTAACAAGAAGTCCCAAATCAGATGAGAGGAAAACATGCAGAAGCCACAGAAAGTTCTCCAAACAGATCAGACAGGCGTCTAGATCATATCCTGGTTTTATTTCCCCCCCGCCCCAGCTATTTCTCTCTCTCTCTGACCTCCCTCTACATGACTTATCCTTTTGTGTGCAAGTACAGCTCCAAACCCTGCTAAAAGATACAGAGACTTGTGCCATACCTCTGGATACTGTAACAAGGCAGTTCTGCAGCTAGGTTCTCTGCAAATTTCCCTAGAGATATGCTTAAAGGGAAAAGGAGTCTGCAAGTACAGGAAGATACTGAACACATCAGATGGAGGAGCTCGGAGATACACCTGGGAGTCACTGAATGATGATGAGAAAGGGAACACAAGTGTACCGGACTGAAACAGCACCCGAGAATAAAGTTGCTGATAAGATAGGGGTGACTGCTCCATGGTTTTGGCCTGCTAAAATTAGATCATATGATAGCCTACGCTGCATCCGTTCACCCGCATCCTTCTCAGCCACGGTGTCACGATGCCACACAGTTATCACTAGGTGTCAGCACAGTTTAGCTGTGAGATAAAACATGGACAAAGTACTAGCCATAGAAGGGAAAGAACTGACCTCCTATTGCAGAGGCTTTCAAAAAGGAGGCGACTGTTCAAACAGAAATGTCTTATGGGAAAAGAGTTGAAGTGAGTCATTTACACATTTAATGACTTCCCTCTGCAGTAGGATAGAGAGCCATTCTCTGCACCTGTGTTTTCTGCGTGTGAACGGCAGCATACGGCACACGCTGTACGGTGGGCAATTTGATTTGAAACCTTGCCAGTAATGGAAGATCTTAAATTGGATCGTTTCCTATTCCCTCCATTATAACGTTCAATTGCCATATAGATTGCAATTCATTTTGATCAATTAATCCAGATGCTCTTATTCATGCAGAGTTCTCAGGAAGCGCTCTGAAGAGACAAAGAAAGGATTTGATCCAGCATCAGCTATTGAGAGCGGCAGCAACTGTAACTGAGACTAAGAGAGTTAAGACACCCAATTCCTGCGGCGTCTAACTTTATCAGAGTCCCGGCCTGCGTGATGAAGCGAGAGCAGTGGTTAAACTTTTTAGACCCGAGGCAGCTCTCTGACACTTTCAGTGATTCACCATATCAAAAAATAAATATGGAAAAATAATAGAGCAATTATTCTGTTGCAAAAAAATTGGGATGTTTCTCTTGCTAGGGTGATCTGCCCCCGCTGACTTCCTGCCCTTTGGACAGGGGGCTGGACTCGATGATCTCGTGAGGTCCCTTCCAGCCCAAATGTCTATGAAATCTATGAACTCAGAAAGACCCCAACAAATCAGAACGTTTTTAACACCGTGGATTTGTAGTAAAAATACGCTAGAACTTAAACATCATGCCTTTTTGCAAACGCTTTTGTATTCAGCATGCTTTGCAATAGCTTCTGCATACAGATTGAGGCCTGCTCTGCACATAAAATTTCGTAACCGTACTTATTCAGCGCCTCAGACAAGGGGTTACTAGGAGGCATTAGGTTTGCCGCAGTTCTGCTTTTGGACTGCGCATGTGCTAAAACTTGATAAGAAACACTAACCAACCACCAACTAAGCTCGACCTGCAAGATAAGACGTAACAATAAGGAAATTGTAATGTCGCCAATAGTTGCAGGACACGCTGAAACCCTCTGTTTATATAAGCTATAAAAGCGGAACCTCGGACACACTCGGGGTCGACTCTGCTTTGGGCGACTCAGCCCCTTTGTCGATCTGTTTGCGCAAACAATAAACTCGAGATGGACCCATCCTGCGTGTGACTCTCTCCTGGAGGTCAATTGGGCAAGCCTCCAGGGGCACGAAACTAGCCATTTGTGCAACAGATTCTTCTTTGAAATCTCTGGACTTGCCTTGTGAATCGTCTCTAGGTGCTTGCACACCGGCCAGTGCTGATACTGTGGCACAAGAATCTCAGGGCACCTGGCTGAGCCACGCTCGAGGTGCTCAGCATTGCCACTTGCGGTCACTTGGTTAACCACGCAACTCATCACCTACCGCTTGCTTTAGTCGCCGACAACCACAAACCACCCCTGTGGTTTCAGACTGCTGGGCGCGGAAGAAAACTGCAGCACCTTTCCCACCGCTGGCTAATGCGGACAAAAACGCTGCAGCAGAATGGGCTGGGCGTGGGGTGTTTCCTCTGCAGCAGGGCCTGGCCCGCTTGAGCCGACAAGGGACCTTTCCTGGAGGTAGGACAAGCCTCCTTGGCACACCTCCCAGAGGCTGCTGCTGGCTGAGCACAGGGAAGGGGACATGCTAGGCTGGGACTCGGGAGGGAGGTTGAGCTGCCGGGGCGAGCTCTGCTCCCTGCCCTCCCAGCCTGGTCCCGGGCGGGGCGGGGCCGGGCGGGCGGGCCGGCCAGGCGCCGCGGGGCGCCGCAGCTCCACCCCGCTCCTGCACGCTTGCACCTCTGGAGCCGGCTGGAAGAGCAACTGGAAACCGAAAAGATGCGGGGCTATGGAGGGGGGGCGGCTAGGAAAGCCCAGCAAAAAAAAGGCATTGCTTTCTGCTGCTGCTTCCTAAAGAAATCCCCAAAAGGCATTGCTTTCTGCTGATGCTTCCTAAAAATCCCCCCAAAAGGCATTGCTTTCTGCTGCTGCTGCTTCCTAAAGAAAGCCCCAGGGCGGGTGGAGTCCCACAAGGGAGGCGGGTTGCCAGCTCTGCTTGAATCCATTTCCAGCGTGCCCGCATGCTTGCATCGCTCTGTTGCAGATCACAGGGTGCAGACTTTAGGTTGGGAAGGCAAAGGTGCACGGCTATGGCATTTCAAAAACCCCACTGAACTAACATTTAATATTTATTTTAATGAATGACCCAGCATTTCATAGGGACTTCGTAAGATCATCCGGTCCAGCCCCCTGCCCAAGGGGCAGGATGTCAGCTGGGGTCAAAAAATCCCAAGGCACCCAAATGTTTCTTACAAGAGTCCAGAGCAGGTGCTTGCACCACCTCTGGAGGAAGTCTAGTCCAGGCCTCGGGGGCTCGGACAGTAAAGAAGGTTTTTCCTTATGTCCAGCCTCAAATGGTCTTGGAGGAGTTTGTGACCATTCGATCTTGTCATCCCTCGGGGCGCTCTGGTGAACGGGCGTTCCCCCAGATCCTGATGCACACCCCGATGTACTTAAAGGCTGACACCAGGTCACCCCTGAGCCTGTGCTTTTCCAGGCTGAAGAGTCCCATAGCTCTCAGCCTGTCTTCATAAGGCTTGTTTTCTTGCTCTCTGATCACATGCATAGCTCTCCTCTGGACTCTTTATCTCCTGAGTGACTCAGCAGTCTCCTGGAGATTTATATCCAACTCCTGGAGAATCCAGGGCAATCCTGGAGGGTTGGCAGCCCTAGCAACAGCAGGAGCATGACAGGGATGCAGCCCCAAAGTGAGCAGGCTGTGATTCTCAACCGCAAGGTCAGGGCTGAGTGACTTGCAGGGTGCGTTTGTAAGGACGCCTGGGCCTTAGTGGCCGAGTAGCAGCAGCCGGATAGACCGGAACGTGCTGTGTCGGGGAGCTGTTGTGCAGAAGCACTTGCAATGCAAATGCAGCCATTGGCACGCAACTCCACCATCCCTTTTGAGAGCCATAATAGCCAAGGCATGCATGCACACCCACCCACACCAACACAGCTTCACAGCCTGCTTGAAATACAGGTATGGCAGAGGTTTCACTAGATAACCTTTAAGGTCTTGGGAGCAAAACTCGGTAACCTCACTGGTCACCAAAACCCATGCATTTACTAAAGACGGTGATAGCTC